GGGGGGGGGCTCACACATTATTTCCCCATTTTTTTTTAGAAGTTTGATTTTTTTTCTCAAAAACTGTTGCCCAAAATGTTTGGACGTAGAATAAAACTTATAATTTTAGGGGTGGGGCGGACTGTTTTGTCGTTGGCCAAATCGTTTGACTAAAAAAAACATCATCCACCCTAAAAAAAAATGGACAACCTCTTGGGGGGGGGCGGCTCAAGTCCCACGAGCCCCCCCCCCCCCCCCCCCCCCCCCCTCGGCTGCGCCACTGTTTGCATGCTTGGAGTTGACGTAATACTCTGAAAGGAAACACTAACCTAACGTTTCACTGTTCATGAGAAAAGTTGACTAAAAGCACCGGTTGTTTACTTCTAACGCGGAGGACATGTTGTGGCATACGTATACGTATTTCCAGCCGTAATTTCTTTCTTTATTGGACGAGGAGTTTGTCTGTGGCCATGTCGGAGTTAATTCTGTTTCCATGATGTCGGAGAAATCACTGTACAGTACGCGTGTGTGAGCATGTAGCCTACTACTACTAGCACCATTGCGTGTACACGAGGGTTTACGGTGGTATATTTGTGTGTCCTTTTTTTCGTACTAAATAGTCTTGTGTGTCTGTTTTCACTTGTGTGTCCAGACACATAAGTGTCAATGCAAAAAATCGTACAGGATTGGTATGCGTGTTTGTAAATATTGACATCAAGATATACATGTATTCATGTGTTGACTGTGTCCATCACCCCGGACGCTGCATGCGGTCACTGGTACAGTTAGGCCAAATAAAAAAAAAAAAAACATGTGTAGCGTCCTCGCCTGCTTCCTTTTTGGAGGCCGCCTCCTTTATTATTTTTTGTTTGTTTGTTGAAAAAACTTGTACAATGATAAATTTTAAACAGTGACGTTATTTTGTCCTCTTTGTCTGTTGCATATAAAGCTGGTACGTCATTTCCTAAGTCCAAGTGGCAGCCTTTAAAAAAAAAGCTGGCGGCCATCTTGAAAAATAGCCCGACTGGTCGATTTGGGGGGAAAAAGGCGCCTCCTCCTTCCTTTTTTCCAAAAAGGTAGGACGATAAACATGTTTTTTTTAATTTTTTTTATTTGGCCTAAAGGTTCGGTCACTCTATGTAACCAGTCACTTTAGAGTGAACCAGTCACTTTAAAGTGTTGAATCCAGCATTTAAAATGTTAGATCCAACACTTCGTCGGGTCAAAGCAGAAAGGACTTATAAGCCCTATTCAGCATTTTCCAGTTTTTCAAGATAATCGAGTTTGAAGTTCACACTGCTTTGAAAATTGCAAAACGTTATTTAAATAGTTATGCATATTGTTAAAGGGGGTTCTTTAACTTAACAGTTAAATATTACCTGCCATTTTTTGTAACTTAATTATTTAACTACAGCTAATAAAAAAAATAAGACCTTTTGGTGTTTCCCAATATAACACTGAAAGAAATGACAAAAGGACAAAAGGGTGCGTGCAAAAAGGTCCTACAACAAGTTCTTAAGCCCTTTTTGCATTTCCCAACATTATCAGTTATTTCAAACAGAAGGTCTTGCCTGTTTAAAGGGAAAAGGCTTATGAGCTTGTAAGGCCTTTTTGCTCCCAGTTGTATGCCAAGATCAGTATAAGTCCTTTTAAAATTTCTTAATTACTCCTTGATTGGATGAATAATTAACATAAAACCTCTTTGGGATTACGACTGTACTGAAAGTAAACAGTTACCATCAAAAAAAAAATTGACCTAAAGCATGGTATAAGCCCTTTCTGCTTTGACCCAACGACTTAATCTGTTAATTCAACATTTTAACTGTTGATTCAACACTTTCAATGTGTAATACTTTGAAAAATGTTTAATTAACACCGAAATTGGATTTAACATTTAAAATGCTGGATTCGACAGTTAAAATAGTGGATTCAACACATTCAAAGTGTGGTCACTGACCGAACTCATTCAACACTTCAGTTTTTTTATGTCATATGCATTTGGCATGTATCAGGCAGCGCTGCCAGGGCGCTAGCGGTGGAACATACGCTACGGTAGAAAAGTTCCAATTGCTCGCAAGTAAACGCCTAGTCTATGTAACAGACAAGAGCCATGGTCTATATGTGAGCAGATTCGCTTATTAATTATGCCAGACAACCGCCTCTTGACCTCTAGATTTTGACCAATCAGCGGGCGCTTTCTATATCGGGTCTTCATCCATTCACCAGTTGCGCTTCATAATTATACATGCATGGACCATTGGGTCAACCCTGGGGTCAACTTTGCTCTATAATAACTGCTCTCGTAGGGCAGGTTTATTTGTGCGTAAAATGAATGCCCTTTTCAGAGACTTTGTAGACGCCCAAAATCGGAATAAAACATATACACTGTATATGGAAAACTTTCTACTCTCCTTAAATGTATTAAAACTATTTGTCATCTTTTTGGGTTAATTTTACTGAAAAGTGCAATTCTTTAAACATTTGAAATTGTCTATGCCTTTCCTGCCAACTGAGGCGATGTTGCTGTGTGCCCGGCAGAAGGGCATATGCCCTTATGCAATAGCGCGTAATCACCAAAATGTTCCCAGCAAAAGGACATATGCAGAAAACTGCCTCTATTTTAATGAATTTAACATATTTTCGTCAGAAATTAATACAAGTTGTTCCAAAACTAATGATTCATACGTGTGACAAATTTCAAATTCGTACGATTTATGTTACGTGTGGGAGAACGTTGGATTCATAATACGCGTGGGGGAACATTAGAACCTTTCAATGCAATTTTCTTGAAAATGATTTTTGCGTCAGAACGCTATGCCTTTCTGCCGGGCACCCGACGCTATTCAGTTTTGGAGTTTTCTGTTAAATTGTGAACCCCAAAATTTGCTCATTGAAAGTGTCCATTTGAGTGAAAGATTTGCTCATTGGCTTACTGTCATGTACTGAAAAGGAATCACCAAAGAAAAGAAAGTTTACGACAGCAAAGTTGCCAAAATTATGACAACTTTTGGTGCCGAAATAGCTGCAAGTTTCTGCCTAATATGACATCACACTTTTGCTCATGAATATGGAAATTCGCATTAGCATAAAACCTAAAACAAAATAAGGCCACCAAAATCACCCTTAAAAAATGGCAAAATGAAAATGAAAATAAAATAAAATGGGGCACAAAGGCCTTTTAATGCCTTCAAAGGAATATCGTTTAATGGGCCCTTTAAAGGCCGGCTGTATTGTTCCGTGTTCTGAAATTATTGAAGTTTGCAGTTCTAACAGAATTCAGTTCCAGAATGATTCATTCTTGTTATTTCGTCATCAGCATTTTAAGAAATTAAAATTGATATTTTTCCAAGGAAAGAAAATGGTTCAAGTTTTGTATGTGTTCGTGGCAACAATGTAAATGTTTTCCAGTACAAATTCGGTTGTTAACTAAAATATCAGGGTTGGGCATTTTTCACGCCAATTCTTACTGGACTAAACTGTCTCGTAGTCGTTAATACATTTCAGGTTTTCGTAGATATTTCTTTGTTTTTTTGTAAACCGATAAGTAACTAGTCTTGGCCCAAGACGTCAGTGATTAAGGGATGCAACCCTGCAAATAAATTCCCATAGACACTAGTGCTAAATGCCCATACTTCAAAATTCTTTTAAAAATACTCAGAACTCTCAAATGTATTCAAGCTGCACAGAAAAATGATGATCAACATGTCATCTTTTGTTTTCTTTTCATTTTTTGATGGGTTGACCGTTGACTTTTCGAGATATTATATTCTCACCCAAAGAAGACGACCCCTATTTTCCCCAAAGCGGAAAAGTAGCCATCTTGAAAAACGATCCCTCCACAACAAGGCAAAATAGCGCCACTTTCGAGCCCAATAGCGTCCAAAATGCTCAGAATTGGAAGCCCCAAGTCCGGGCCAGAGGTTCATTACCATATCTCTTCAATTCCCCAATTTTGCGGCGCTCAGAACTCTCTAATATAGAATATTTTGAGGGTATAGCTTTAATTCATGAGCTCGGCGGATGGATTTAGGCCTATTTACCGGCATGCACCCCTAGAGCGATAGTAGCAGTGTTCTGTAGCGCCCTTGCATAATTGATTTTTTACCTTCTCTCACTAACGTCTTGATCATTTCGTAGTAATGGGGGCTGGCCATTATTATGTAAATAGGACGTCTGTATAAATTCGAACGAAACGGCAGTTCCCATTCACCGCTCGTATAGCGTGAATTTTGACAACCGTACGTCGGGCGAGCCATTGAATAATTTTTTTTCGATCGCAGATTGGTTCCTAGTCCGAGTATCACCCGTTATCCACGGAGCAAGACTCCTGTATAACGTCTGATATGTCTAGACATATACATATATGCAAGCCGCGCGCCCGCCAATCGGAGTCGATTTTACTAAATTGTGACGTCATTTCATTCCTAAATCAGGACTAAATGGTTTGATTGGTCAATTCGAATCATGATTCGAATGCAATGTTTTATAATGCAACAACAGTCGGGCGCATATCGCGTAACATGATAAAGAGCGCGTGACGCAGGTTTTTTTAATTCCATTGTCTATGACGCGCAACGGGTGAATGAACGAACGCCCGATATAGAAAGCGCCTGCTGATTGGTCAAAATCTAGGTCAAGAGGTGGGGTCTTGCCTAATTAATCAGCGAATCTACTCACATATCATAGACCAATGGCATTCTATGCACAGACTAAAATTTGTTCCCTAGGAAAGCGATGATGCTGGGTCACCGCACTTATATAGCCCGTCAGTGTTTACAACCGTCTGGCGAGCCATTTAATCATCTTCTCGATCGCTGATTGGTTCCGTAGGAAAGCCTACGGACACAATAAAGAAAAAAATAAACCGCTGATACAAAATGGCCAAGACATTAGCGCGATTAGGCCCGCTGGTCTAATTGTTGTGCCATTAGAGGGCGCTCTTTGCACCTGCCACTATCGATCATTAGTGTCTTGGGCCAAGACTAATAAGTAACCTACAGCAATAAACATGACATATAATGTACCAGAAAACCACTTCAATATGTGGCAATTGGAAGGAAATTTAATTGCGATTCCTCCTCGCATATTAAGTCGTCCATGTACATGTGCTTGACTTAAAAAAGCTTTAACAATATTTACAAAACAGATTGTAAAACACACAAATAATATATGTGCAAATATGTACCGTACTTTGAACATGTATAATTATTTGGACACCTCTGAAATTGATGAAAAAGCCCCAAACAATAAAATTAAGCTGTAACAAAGCTCTCCTGAAATCCACTTTGACAATTAAATGCGCACATGTACATGGTATTCAATATTGTTGGGTGCAATATCGATATGATCAATATGAAAGGTATATACGTTGTAATCAAATCCATTGTCCAAAAACAATACACTGTATCAGTGAAAAAATATGGTGCAAACAACAGGGGTGTGAGTGACCACTTATAAAAATAGCTGAAAATAGCTGGAAAAAAGGTGTAAAGAAGCTGAACTTTGGATATCTCCTATACTTTTGTACACAGCAAGTGAGGGAAAAAGCTGAAAAAAGCTGAAATCCAAAACAAAAAAAAGCTGAAAACAGCTTAAAAGCTGAGATTTCACACACCTGAAATAACTAGTGTACCATTTCAAAGAAAAACAATAGGAACGATGACCAGGTGTCTACTGACCAAAACAAGATATTATCAACAGGTTCACTCACAGCTGAGCATGCTGTACATCTGATACAAAGGAACTTAACTTCATGTGATCGTTTCTACACACAAAAATCAAATGTTCCAAAGTCAGAGAAATTCTGTAAAAAAGAGTTATTTCATCAGATTTATTTCTTTAAATTTCTGTCACTTACAACAAATTACATAGGCAGCTCCAAATCTTTAGCAAAACGTCTGTGAAACCTTCTACTGCAGCAATGCTTTTACTACTGCCGCAACTCAAAATATATACATATTCCAGTAAAAATTTAAACAGACAGGCAAAACAAACAAATTAATAGTGTAAACATTTGAAAAGAAGCTGGTTGGAAGGTAGTGCCGATTTCCACCGGTTATCCAGCACTTCATGTAAAGAGATTCTTGACTGGGGTAAGCACAGCACTAGGGATGAAATAGAAAGAGAACACTAAATTCAATGTGAAACAGAAAGAATAGCTTCTGGTACAGTTATATGTAGGTCTACCAGTGTTGTATTTGAGACCATCAGAGGTTCCTGCAAGTCCATCACAAGTCCATGGCAAGTCCATGGCAAGTCCATTATAAGTCCATCACACGTCCCTCACAAACCCATCACAAGTCCATCACAAGTCCATCACAAGCCCATAACAAGTCCATCACAAGTCCATCACAAGTCCATCACAAGTCCATCACAAGTCCATCACTAGTCCATCACACGTCCCTCACAAACCCATCACAAGTCCATCACAAGTCCATCACAAGTCCATCACAAGTCCACCACAAGTCCATCACAAGTCCATCACAAGTCCATCACAAGTCCATCACAAGTCCACCACAAGTCCACCACAAGTCCATCACAAGTCCATCACAAGTCCATCACAAGTCCATCACAAGTCCATCACAAGTCCATCACAAGCCCAAAACAAGTCCATCACAAGCCCATAACAAGTCTGTCACAAGTCCAGTCACAAGTCCATTACAAGTCCATCACAAGTCCAAAACAAGTCCAAAAACAAGCCCAAAACAAGTCCATCACAAGCCCATAACAAGTCCGTCACAAGTCCATCACAAGTCCATCACAAGTCCATCACAAGTCCACCACAAGTCCATCACAAGTCCATCACAAGTCCCTCACACGTCCCTCACAAACCCATCACAAGTCCATCACAAGTCCATCACAAGTCCATCACAAGTCCACCACAAGTCCACCACAAGTCCATCACAAGTCCATCACAAGTCCATCACAAGTCCATCACAAGTCCATCACAAGTCCATCACAAGCCCAAAACAAGTCCATCACAAGCCCATAACAAGTCTGTCACAAGTCCAGTCACAAGTCCATTACAAGTCCATCACAAGTCCAAAACAAGTCCAAAAACAAGCCCAAAACAAGTCCATCACAAGCCCATAACAAGTCCGTCACAAGTCCATCACAAGTCCATCACAAGTCCATCACAAGTCCACCACAAGTCCATCACAAGTCCATCACAAGTCCTCACAAGTCCATCACAAGTCCATCACAAGCCCATAACAAGTCCATCACAAGCCCATAACAAGTCCGTCACAAGTCCAGTCACAAGTCCATTACAAGTCCATCACAAGTCCATCACAAGTCCACCACAAGTCCACCACAAGTCCATCACAAGTCCATCACAAGTCCATCACAAGTCCATCACAAGTCCATCACAAGTCCATCACAAGCCCATAACAAGTCCGTCACAAGTCCAGTCACAAGTCCATCACAAGTCCATCACAAGTCCACCACAAGTCCATCACAAGTCCATCACAAGTCTACCACAAGTCTACCACAAGTCCACCACAAGTCAGTCACAAGTCCATCACCAGCCCATCACAAGTCCATCACAAGTCCATCACAAGTCCATCACAAGTCCATCACAAGTCCATCACAAGTCCTACAGTCTTAAGTCAAGTCACTAACTAATCAAAGGAACTGATACAAAAGCATTCCTTTGTCATTGTTCATCCCGTTACTTGTGACTAGACTTGTGAAAGGACTTGTGATTGGACTTGTGACTGGACTCGTCATGGACTCGATTGAGGCTACATGTTAAACTTAACAACAATATCTATAGCAGTAAAAAACAAGAAACAGCTAACATCTTTTTTCCCCACGAAATTAGAGAAACTATGGGTTTATTAATTAATCTGATAACATGTTCATGGTAGCAGAAACAGAAACATGTGCCTATAATTCAGGAATTTGTCCAACAGAATCTTGCCAGATCAAAATGGAACTCTGTGTGTTAAGTAAACGGTGCAAATTTTGTATTACATGTACATGGAACTTAATTGTCTCCTTTGCATTGTTGAAGTCAAGTCCTTCGAAAGTCCTCTAGTCTACAAATCAAGTCGCAAGCTATTTGAATGAGCTATAACAAAAGCCGTCCTTTGTAATCGTTTGTGCCTAGTTACATGTGACTGGACTCGTGAAAGGACTAGCGAGTTACGTTTGACCGGACCTGTGATGGACGTGACAACAACACTGCTCTATTCCTCACAGAAAAAGGAAAAGCAAGTAGAAGGGACAGAAAGCAAAAAAATGCACCCTTTCTTAAAAGGCTTGGTGCTTAAAACATTGAAATTGTCATGGCCACACGTACTTCACCAATCGTTGGAATGGTCCTCTTGATCGGAGCTGATAATGTGCCACTGCAGTTGCAGGAGGCTGTGGGTTACCGGCTAATCTCTGTAGCCTCATTTGCTCTTCCAGCTGGTACTGCTCACCCTCATGGCGCCCCAGTTGACGAACCTGTACGTCCTGCTGCACCACACCACCTGTTAAATATGAGGGGGAAAAAATAAACAAAGTTGAGCAAAGAAAACGGACTGATGCTAAATTTGAACCTGCTAGAACTCTTTACACAGAATCACCATCGTGAGACTTCTGTTGCAAAGCAGTGGCTCTTTGACGTTCAAATGCAGCTTCTTATCAACCTAACCGAGCAAAGGGCTGTCCAGTCCAAAGTCTGCTGTGGCAAGTTTAACACTGCCTCTGTTCACGGAATTGATGTTATAAAAATTCATACGCACTTTGTGGTCAGGAGTTTTTGCATACTTGGGAAATAGCAGTCAGATTTAACTCAGGGAGAGCACAGGTGCTACTCAACGTTGGACTGCCACTTGCTTGGCACCCATGTGCAAATTTAGGTTTGTGTTCACTCAGATGACAATTATTTGTGAGTACATGTACTTCTTGCAACATACTGTGCAATATTTGTATGACGTGTGTCCTACACATTGAGCTATCCTGAGGGGTCACAACATCATTCACTATACCTCATACATATTCATGATCAAGAGCCGATTTCTCACTGGTCCATTCACCATCACATGCCCGGTGCTATTTTTGCGGTTTACCAGGTGCGCACGTGAGTACTCACACACAGGGTAAATACGCATGCATAGTTGACTATTGCACCGTCCACTACGCTTGCGCTTTACGAAGCAATCGCACAGGTGTAGTACGCAGTACGCACGCACAAACATCGCCCTAGCTACACATGAAAAGATGGTTGCACACGTTAAGGTTAATCAGCATTTTCCCGAGCTCAATGATGCTGTACTGGAGAAAACTGTAAACAAACGGATGCCTCCTCTACAGAAAAAGACAACCACAATGCAATAGAAACTCTATTTCAAAAGAACTGAACTTTGAAGGTTGAGTAATATTCTCCTGGTGAGCTGGACCAATGTCTCTGGAGATTTTATGCCGAGTTGCTCCTGAACTTGTAATGGCAACTGGAGATTTATGGGGCATAGTATAACATGGTTTATTTCGGTTGGATAGTTGATATTATCTCTTCTTGGTATTGGAAGTTGACAAACTAGTTCCTGCAGGGCGAACCTTCCAATACCTTGGGGAGTTAATATCGACTATCCACCTTCAAACCATGTAATACTTGTATACTACTATTCACGGGCAGAGTCCATAAAGGAATGTTGCCCCATTTATAGGAAGCAGTAGCAGCCTTATCATCATTAACGGTATATTAACGTTCTCATAGGTTGATTTTTCTGATCTTCATGCAGGAAGGTTACTGATGTACGTACCTTGTGGGTAGGCAGGTGGTGATTGTGCACTAGCTGTGGCTCCAACCCTAGGCTCTGCTTCCTCTGGTTTGGATGTCCTCTAAGAGAGAGAACAAAGTAATCTGTTCATTTAAATGCAAGACAGAATTGTTTTTCCTATAGATCTGATACCTTTGATTTATTATTGCAATGTACTACAAACATGTAACTTCTAGCAGATAGAACACATGCTTTTTGAGGAGGTGCTACGATAAGTGCTTTTTGTTAGGAACCATTCTAATAGAGCAATCTTAGCACAGAGTCGTGATTGACAGAAATGGTGGCAGCATTGTGTCGCTTTTTTGAGAGTAACCATCTTGGGAAGGCTGACCTGGACAATAGCTGGCAATTTGCTTCTGCCATTACTGGATACCAACATGAGTGCAGTGGCAAACCCACAATTTTGTGTTTCAATTGTTTTTTTATTTCTGGCCGCAGACAAAAAGAAAAGGGTGTTTTTTTTTTGGGGGGGGGGGGGGAATGGACTATTTTGATGTTGGTGGCGCCATTTACACCCCTATTATACTACTCGAAAATAGACCACATACATATCACCATGGTCGAATCGGGGACTAACAAAAAGTAGACCACCCCCTAAAAAAAAATGGGGGGGGGGGGGGGCTCAAGTCCACGAGAGCCCCCCACCCTTTGGTGCACCATTACTTGGGTGTATACAGTCACTCTGTGCCTAGCTTGAAATCTGTGACCAATCGAATGGTCAGAACATTTAACTTAATCCACCATGTATTGAAACCAAATGGCTCATTCTGCCTACTCTAGCTTCCAAGGGGACTAAAGCCCAATATATTGGAGACGCTGCTCCTTCCTGAATCCTACAAAATCCTCCAAAAACCACCTGGTAGATTTTTAGAAGGATATGGAAGGTTTAGGGTTGAAGAAAAATGATGAAAAGCTCCAGGGACCCTATTTATTGACTAATCTAATTTTAGTTGCAGACACAAAACATTCCTAAACACTTTGCTGCCAGGGGTGGGTTAGAAACCATCAAGAAAACAATGGTGCTTGTATGTCACTCCGCAAGAAGCAATGGCATATAAAGAACGCTATAATTCCTAGGACATGTACTGACACTCTTTCTTAATAACAAGCCTGTAAAATACGGTTGGGAATCAACATTTAATTTGGTAGGTGTAATGCAAAACTGTGACACACCTTTTAAACATGTCTTGCATGTACTTAGAGAGGCATGGAACGTTGAAAAACATCAAACACAAAATGAATCCTGTATAATGTATCTTGTAACTTGAATGACAACTCCTGAAAGACATTGAAATTAATTCTACAAATGCTGAGTGTTATCCAAGCCTAGATGTACAAATACAATACAATCCCTGCAATCTACACCTACCCTGACATAGTCCTGTTTGCCCTGCTGGGTATCTCTATCCTCACTACCTGTGCTATCTCCTCTCTGCTTCTTTTCTTGACTTGCCTGACACTCCTTGGCCTGAGACGCTTGGCCTGAGATTAATAGTCAAATCCTTGTGATACCACTACCTCATCATTTGGGAAGTTTCTCTTTTGTGTACACAGATTCTTTGGATGTTACAAAGGCCAAGGCTTTATATTTAGCATGTTATGCTCACTCAGGAATGGCTGAAGCAAATGTGACCCACTATCCCCTACCTATGGCAAAGCAGCCAAAATTGCTTCAGAGTCTACGCTATGTTAGCTCCTGAGTCCTGAGTCAACCCTACGTTAGCTCTTCAGTCAACCCTATGGCACATTCCTGAATAGGATTCATCAAAATCACTCAAAAGCAGTGTTACATTTTGGAGGGTTAGGATTAATTATGGAATTATGCCACTGTGTGAATTTATAATTACACCAACCTTGATTATTCCACACAAAGAATACAATCTTTTGGATCAGGTAAACAACACCAGACGTTTGACGGAAAACAAATCCAATGGACAAGAGTTACCTACATGTAGGATGGTTCGGTCAAGTTGATACATCAACACATGACCTGCTAAACCCTTTAGTCACTGTAGCCCCAGAAACCTCCCTGCCTATTACTCACTGTTGCCACGAAACTTCCCCAGCACTCTCTGGTTATATTGATTTTTCAGTGAATAAATACAATGTAATACAATAAAGTCCAGGTGTTAATGGGTTAATTGAAGTCAAGTAATTAAAAAAAATCCCAAGTTTGTATCATTAGGTAGAGTGGGTATCTACACAAGAATTTAACTAGGAACCAAAACCAAAAGTTTGGTACAGCGGCTGAAAAAACCTTATGATTAGACCCCAATCCAGGCACGCTAACAAGTCTATCATGAAGGCCCCCTTCAATGGCGAAAGCATTATGATAGCTATTGTTCAGTCAATCTTTCATGAGGCAGTTGCTTTGTACAGTAGCCTGCAAGAGGTGTTTTTATTTGCAGCACACATCGTCAATGGATCATGATTATTTAGCTAGTTCGATGTATAAAGAAAATAACAATGACGTCACACCATTGCGATCAGTCAGTCATGCATGTACATTAAAGCATTTCAAAAACGGCTTTCGTCGAGCTGCCACAGTGGCCTAGTGGATAGTGGAATGAACTACAGATCGCGAGATCTGTGGTTCGAACCCGGTACCCGTGTCCATTTTCGTCAAATATTTTTGTTGGTTGGGATTAAAGTTTGATTGAAGGGAAAACACTACGAAAACCTGATGTCTTCCATCCAGACAGCGTGATAAATATTCATGTTAAGGTTTGTGATGTGATTGGTTAAAATACGATGTATGCTGCAGAAAAAAAATACGCAGCCTGCACAATGGCTTCTCCACAGGCGGCCTCGTGACTGTATACAGTCAACTGTGATGATGTGCGTGGATTCATCTATGAGGCAAGCTTACACCTAAACGTATCGGGACCCTCACTTATCCTCTTAAATAAGCCACTTATTTACTTGATGTACACTAACCTTGGGATCTGAAATGATACCTGCTGGTCGTCTCTCGCTTTCTGTTATCAGGGCTATGCAGTCTGTCTCTATTGCGTAAGGAGTACTGCCTGTGTGGCAGGCCAGGCTGCTCCAATTCTTGGTCTTGAATGCTACCGGTGGAATGGAAATAAATAGAATTGTATGGATTGTCATGCAGCGTCTGATCATAAACCATGCAAACTGCCAAAGGTGGTGAATTCTTGTCTTTTTTTTGAGGGGGGGGGGGGGGGGAGGTAGGAGTCCACACTTTATGATACATGTAGCATTTTTTTGTCTTTTGATTTTGGAAGAGTAGAGTAGCGTTCTATTTACTCAAGCTACATGACCAAGAATCAAAAAAAAAAATTGAAATTGTTTTAGACTCACCTTCCAACTTGCTGGTGTCAGTCCCGTTCACTCCAAGACCATTCATACATTTGAATCCAGATTCAAGTGTGCTTTCATCATGTTCATGCAATGACTCAAATTAGTTCCAAAATGAACCCTTCTCTAATTTAGCCCTAACCGTGCTAAATGCAACAAATCAAACTCAGCTCAAATGAGAACCCTGCTAAATGCAACAAACTGCAAATTACTGGATTCGGTTGCATTGTGCAGTGAACCCAGTGTACACAAACCTTGGCACCAAGCAGCTGCCCCGCTTACTGCAACAAACTGCAACATTGGATTCTTTACAATGTACAGTTGACAGTGCCCACCAACCTTGGCACCAAGCAGCTACCCTGCTCAATGCAATAAACCGCAACATTGGATTATGTTGCATTGTGCAGTTAACACAGTGCCCACCAACCTTGACACCAAGCAGTTACCCTGCTAAATGCAACAAACTGCAACAGTGGATACTCTTGTATCGCCTTGGCACTATGAGCAGTTACCCTGCTAAATGCAACAAACTGCAACAGTGGATACTCTTGTATCGCCTTGGCACTATGAGCAGTTACCCTGCTAAATGCAACAAACTGCAACAGTGGATACTCTTGTATCGCCTTGGCACTATGAGCAGTTACCCTGCTAAATGCAACAAACTGCAACTGTTACAGTGGATACTCTTGTATCGCCTTGGCACTATGAGCAGTTACCCTGCTAAATGCAACAAACTGCAACAGTGGATACTCTTGTATCGCCTTGGCACTATGAGCAGTTACCCTGCTAAATGCAACAAACTGCAACTGTTACAGTGGATACTCTTGTACCACCTTGGCACTATGAGCAGTCACCTTGCTAAATACAACAAGATGCAACAAAGCATGGGGACTTGAGTTGCCTGCTAAATGCAACAATATGAAGCAACTTTTTACCGATTTTGCTTGTGGTTGCATTTAGCAGGGATTGGGGTTAAATTTTTGACTTGCCTAGGCTTCAGGTCTTAAATTTACAACTTGTAGAGATTGTATTGGCATTAGATTTAAACACAACACTGAAGCTAGGCTAAAAATATGTTGCATGCAAGGGTCTTTGGATCTGCAAGTCTATTGAAGAAACATATTTAGAGGGTCTTCCGGTCCTGCAAGTCTGTGAAAAAAAACTAGATTTACCGCTTGTCCGAGGATCTTGGTTTCTTAGGCCTGGGAGGGGAAGACGCAAGTGTCTCTTTTACTTCATAACGCCTGGTGTGTTTACGTGCACCAAGGGGACGTGCTTGTGTAGAGGCCTATAGAATGGAAAAAAATAATAAACAGATTGAAAACAATACTCAGGGATTAGATATGGGACAAATAAATCATCTACGAAATATTCGGTGGAGAGGACGTCGAAAGCCCATTGTTGCAAACCTTTGTACAAAGAAAAATACAGCAAAGAAGAATTTTGATTTAGCCATTTTTTTTAATCCAGAAATCTGGAAACTTTCAGACAAATCTCACCCCTTGTGCCAAATTCAGTGTTGTTGACTCGAGTTGCTGACTTGGACTCAAGTTCGACTTGAGTCACTTTAATTTTGACTCGAGACTTGACTTGATAAAAAGTGACTTGCAACTTGACTTGACTTGAATAAATTTGATGTGCTGACCTTAACAATTTTTGTTAAAATAAACACAAACTTTTGCAAATATCAGTTGAACAAAAAGCCAAGGACCTGATGTACATGAGCTAGGTGTCCTGTACATGTGCGGAGATTGTCGAGGTGGTATTTGTGCAGTGCATTTCAGAGAAAAGTGAAAAGTGACTCATGATGTAATATGCTCAGTTGGACTACAGAACTTGCAAAAATGAACTTGAGACTTGTGACTTGACTTGGAAAAGTTGACTTGGGACTTAACTTGACTCTGGAAAGTTTGACTTGCGACTTGACTGGACTTGTGGAAAAATGAATTGGTTACAACATTGGCCAAATCAGGGACAACATGAAAACACCACAGGCTTTGTACAAAGAAATGCACATAAAATTGTTATTGGTCTCTTGAAAAGTGTAGGATCCATAAAACCAAAACTTCAACAGTGTACCATCCTGCTTTAAATTTCGAGTCATGATCAACCGATATCTTATAACAACTGAAGGATTATTTGGTTTTGTATTATACTGTAGCATTTTTTTCATGCTGGTTAAATTTCACAAATGCTTCTGAATTTTGTTAATGGCAAGCTGATATCTAGGAAATCGACAGACAAGTCGGTTCTCGAACCGCGCGTCCCGCAAGCTTTGGCGATAATCTTTTAAGAGTGACCTTGGTGTGTGACATGAAAGTTGCCATGTTGCATCTAAGATTCAAGTTTAGTTCCAACTGGACTTCAACTTTTGAAATAAGACCAATTTTTACAAAACTTTAACGGAAATACCACATACATACAAATTACATAGGTACAAACATAGTGATTGCATAGTCTCTTTCCTGAACAAAGTCCAGGCGAGACAAAAACATGGGTAGAACACACAAGGAGAATGATAAGCTGGCCAGCAAAGTCTACCTGTTCTTTTTGTCTCATTGATTGTGTTTGTGGGGATTGTGACCGGCGTTTTCTTGGTTGTGCACCCACATCTTGCCTGGCCTGGATGTACAATGTAAACATTGAGGCATGGACATTCAGCCGTTGGTTGTGGTGAGTGAAGGTCAGGTGCGAGGCCAGCTTCCACTGTTTTCTCTCTGGAAAAAACAAAACAAAGAAAAGTAGAGTTCTGGGAAGAGTAGCTTTGGGATATTTCACAAAAACGCTTTGAAAGTAGGCCAACCAAAAATCAGAAAACTTCCAATGTGATGAATTGGGCAACAAGTCAGTACAGGATGTACACTTTCACTGAAGATTATGTCATACATGTATGTTTAAATACAGAATATATCATATCACTGTACGTCATATCATATTTTAAAGAACATATTGTCACTGTAGTTTATGTCATCCATGTTCCAGACTGTACAATGTCACTATATATCATGTTGTCTATACATGTACAAACAAATCTGTATCTAGTATAGGTTTTCCCGACCAATTTCCTAACATGTTCATTCACTTCTGAAAATCAGTCATTCATTTTTGTCTGAATTTGAGAATCGTTCTGAACACGTGTTTCATTTTCGCTACCAGAGCATTCGATTTCATTTCAGTTCAATCAATTAAATGATTAAGCAGCACCCTTCGCTTATGTTCATTCAGATTCGTTTACAAGACTTCTTTTTCGCTTTTAGAGGGCTGTTTCAAACATTTACTATTCTATTTCACTTTTGGTTTCATGTTCTGTGATGTAATGAGCTATTTTGAATGAGAAAAATGTACTTTTGATTGCACATTCACAAAATTGTATTCCAAAACTCTGCGCGAAAAGGTATGCTTGCGTAAATGAATGCACAGGTAACGTAATTGCCGTCTGTTTCTCAAAACTGAATGCACGGACAATGAAATCAATTTAACTTTCGTTGAACTGAAAAGGGATTAAAGACGTGCATTCAAATTCAGAGGAAAACAAATGACTGATTTTCAGAAGTGAATGAACATTTCAGGAAATTGGCCGGGAAAACCTGTATTTGCAAATTAAAAAAAATAATTTTATGAATCAGAGTTACAAATGATTCGCAAATTGAAACATATTGAGGCAATTTACTGATCAGCACAAATGAAGTGATCTGCCTGAACCCCATCCCTCACACATCCTTTGAAATCCAACAGAGGGCTTCAAAGGAATGTTGGAGCCCAGCTATATGTACTTTATGAAGCTCTTGAATACAAAAAATCTGCCAAGAGGTTTTCAGCAAAAACTATCAGGGAGTAAGGTTTCAGTTGTACATAAGTGGCAGCCTAGACTCTAGACGCTCACACAAAATCAGCAATGTTGTAGTCAAGTACTTATTTCCGAGTACTTAGGTTGCCGAGTACGAGCACTTCCGAGTACGAGTATTTCTGAGTACGAGTACTTCTGAGTACGAGTACGAGCACTTGTATTCTGAGTATGAGTACTCGGTATGAGTACTCGGTATGCGTACGTGGCAATGGGGCTGAACCCGGATAGGGAGCCGAAACCAGAGTTCAGAAAACAGCCTTGCTCCAATCACCCAAGTTAATCAAATGATCATTTTGAGGAACACCTCAGCGTTTCTTGTACATGATTGGCCATTGTGCCAACATACAGCAAATGGGTCATTGTGCGTAATTAGCCCAGGCCCAGTCAGACCGACAGCGCTGCTATAGGATCTTTTCTCATGGCTAGCTGTTAATTGTGTTTGTCTGGACATGCGAAGAGGACAGTCAGGTATCTTCGATTTCTCTGCAAACCAATCAACCATTTAAAACTGAAAGTATCGATAAAATAAGGCCCTGGTAAGCCAAGCTATACCATTTTTTCCCCCGAGTGCTGCTATTTGAGTACAAGTACCTTGATGATCGAGTACAATTTCGACATGTGGAGTATGAGTACTTTTCTGCCCGAGCAAGAGTACCATCATTACAAGTACGAATACTTTGAGTACGAGTACGAGTACTCTAAACAAGTACTGAAAACACTGAAAATTAGGTGATGTAAATGTATTCAATGTGTTCGGTCACAACCATCATGGAGACGGAGCTTCAAGAACCAATTTATTTCCCAGTGTGCCTCTGAAACACTGCTGTTGCTTTACCTGTGTGAATGATGAAATGGTCAGTCTTCAATGGAGTCAAGGTACCAGACAGAATCACACTGATTGCTTCCTGTATTAAAGAGGAGACAACATCAAAACAATTGTTAGTCGGCCATAGAAATATTAACATAATCAGGCCCTTATGGTCATATAAAGATGATTTTCCTGCTTTAAAAACCTATTTCTCTCTAACAGCATTTCACCATGACACATACAGTACATGTATACTGATCACTATTCCATCATACAAAATATCCTCATCTACCGATAACCATTCTATAACACCTCACTCACAGATTCTGTGTCTTGATTGGCCGAGAGCGCGTCACGTGTCACTTGCTATTTTTACTAATTTTTACTTGCGCTCCAAAAAGACTATACCTCGGTGATCCATGGAGCATTCTATTTTCCCTCGGCTTCGCCTTGGGAAAATAGAATGCTCCATGGATCACCTTGGGAGGCTAGTTTTACTATACCACTCAAAGCAGTCAATATTTGTATACTATAAGTTTGACTATAAAGTTGCAGATCTTAGGAGCCACAACGCAAACACACCTCAATTTCTTGTTGCACTGACTTGACATCACATGGTAGACTGCTGCAATGTTAGTTAAGAACAAACAACAATAATTATGAATTGTGATAGCAGTGGCAAACACATATATTGGCATAAACTTCCATGTACTAACACATAAATAATTGTCAAAAATGTTGAAATTCCTCTCAATTTAAAGCTACATAAATGTACAGTCCATCATTTGTAACTATCCAAAAAGTAACTGACGTAATTATTGTTGAAAAACAAACTTGGTTGAAAGATAGTTAAGGAACTGAACTCCCTGTGAAATTATTCTTTCTGGGAAGCTGTCATTTTGAAGAAATCAATGAAAGAAGACGCATCGCTGGAACTTTCTGTTAGTACATGTAGTTCGTTTTTTATTCGACATTTTTTATGCGATTTTTAAGCGCGCACAAGCGTTGACACGACGCACACGCCTGCACGGTTGCTATAACTCGTTCGATCAGTGCGCAACATCACGTAGCTGCAATCGGGTCAGTGAGAACGTGGGTCGGACGCTGAATTCAGGCCCAATTCAAAACATGATTCAGCAACTTTTGATTTGAAATCAAGATCCTAGAATGTTGTTTTTCTCGAAATATACAGCTGAAGCGGAGCTGAAACTTCATCAGGTTAGTTGTTCAGCACCCTTCTTTAGATTTTCTGCACTTTTGTTGCTTAAAACGAACAAAATACACAAATTATAAATGATGGACTATACCTTTAAAGGTAAATATTGTTTACGATAACCACTACAGGTACTTGTTCTTGAACGGAGCCCATATTCATATGGGCAACAAATTTCAGTGCAAAGTTAATTCATGAGGGGCAAGGTGAACATCAAGTTGGTATACAATGTATGAGCTCATACAGCTCATACAGTATGTCCCCAAAACTGACTATTTTTGAAAGAACTACAAAACCATGAGGTCAATTTTGAAATTTTTTGGTTTACATAATCCTATAAGGCCTTAACTTAACCCCTATGAGTTTCATTTAACTTCACTAATAAAGGCATCACTGAACAACATTTGTGAACTGATCACAAAAACGTCTTTGGACACTGTGACCAAGTTCCTTGCCTTATTCAATTTCAGTGCTGTGTTAAGCAAGCTGTACATGTGTAAAATCCTTCCTGATGTGAAAAGGGCTGCAGTTGGGATTGGAATCATTTGCCTGGCTATCAGTCATTATTGGCAAGATATCAGTTTAATGCTCAATGGCAAATGATTCCAATCCCAAACCACATCAGCTTATTTTCCCCTTAACATTCAGGATTTTACACAGCTTACCCCCGGTACATAACACTGAATTGATTAAGGAAAGGAACTTGGTCACAGTGTCCAAAAAATTTTGTTGTGACCAATTGACAATTGTACAGTGATGCGTGACTGAAATTAAATGAAACTCATAGGCATTTAGGCCAAGGCAGGAGTATCTGCACAACTAACAATTTCCAAAATTTACCTCATGGTTTTGGATTTATTTTTAAAACAGTCAGATGGACAATTTTTTGGGGACATAGGCCTACTGTATAATTAGCTTGATCATTGCAGTGCATTGTATTAATTCCATCCCCACGTACATCTACTTGAGGCACTTTTCTGTCATCAACAAGTTAAGCCCTGCATTGGGCACATTAATGTGGGTTTCCAATTCCAGGGTGGGGCACTTTTTTCATTTCCAGCGTTGGGAGGAATACAGTGGGAGTGCCATCCGTAGGGATGGTCGTTGAGGCCGCTGCACATTACACATACCTTCCTGCCTCTTTGGTGTCGTAAACCAGCTTGATTTTATACACGGTGTCGTTGTGCTTGATAAGTCTGGTGTCCCTACCAGGAAGCTTAAATGTTTCCATATTGAGTCCAACCTGTTGATGAAGTAAAAGAAATCGTAAAGCTTGCACACAGTACTGTTTGGTAGAATAATTCCAGCACTTCAACATATTCAAAACGGCAGCAAATACATGGTGCTCAAATTTTTGAGAATGGCAAGTGGCACTTGTCTTGGTTAACCCCATAAATGTCTCAAATACTCAACTTCCTCTGCATTGTAGGGGTCCGCTCATAAGTCCGACGTCTCATAGGTCCGACGCCTCAAAAGTCCGAAATTTCGGACAGCGTCAGACTTATGAGGCTTCGGACTTAGGAGGCATGACATTTATTTATTCTGCCTCATAGGTCCGACGCTGCATAAGTCCGATGCCTCATAGCTCCGACGCCTCATAAGTGCGAAGCAGCATTTATCCATTGTCGGACTTATGAGGCGTCGGGTTTATGAGGCGTCGGACATATGAGGCAGAATTTATGCCTCATAAGTCATAAGTCCTTCCAAACCCCAGCTTCCGGGTCCATCCCCATTGCAACCTGCATGAAAGGAGCAAAGACTGACCGAAGCCGGGGTTTGGAAAACGGCAATTGTGATCACGTGACGCTTGTACACAACGACATAACACGTACACAACATGCACGCACGACAGCTGTTGTCATGGTAGTACACATTTTTTTTTTCTGGAGATGCCACCGTAATCATCTATATTTCTCACATTTTAGTCACTTTTGTTCTGTTTCAAGTCGATCATTAGCTTCGTGAATGACTGCTGCATGGTATGAGGTATGTATACTGGAATCTGGTTTGGGATAATAGAGGGAAAATGGACCATTTTTGTGATTCATTGGGGATACGATACAGGGTCCGTTTTTCAGGGACTCTTACAATCTAGTTTCTATAACGTAGTTTTAGCTCCAACTCTATATATGTGGAATTCTAGATGAGCAATGGAGCTGGAGTTACTCAAGCTGGTAAAATTATTGGAAAGATTCCCATATCTGGCCGTCACTGGTCACCCGTGAACGTGGCTTTGTGACACAACGCCACGCTCCTCCTGCCTGGCGTAAACTTACACGCAAAATCATCACGCAGCACGTTATTTCACATAACCATGTATAATTTTGCCCTATAGAATAATCCCTTACCTGTAAGCCTTCTGTGAATTTATGGGAGTGTTAGACCTGTCATTGCCAAGAAATCTGATAAAAAATAGGCAGTGGATATTTTGCCGGAGACGGCAAACCTTTAGTAAACGTTAGTTTGCCGGATATGCACTGAACATGCGCAGTTACTGTTTTTTTGTACTCAAACATTTTCCGGTGACAAATTTTAGTCTGGCTCCATGCCAATATTATCGTTGTAACCTTGTATTCACAAGATGGGATTCAGACCATTTTATAATTTCGGACTTAATTTCCCTTTTAAAAAAAATCCTCCAGAGCCACAAATCTGAAAAAGAAAATGTAATACTCTGCAATAAAATGTTTGAGACATGTTAAAATAATAAAAGGAGAATATTCTTATTTATTTGGGGATGGGAAAAAACCCTTTAAAATGTGGCCGGGGTCGGGATCGAACCTGAGTCATCCCGCTCACTAGAGCTTTTGCTTAACCACTACACCAAACGTGCTTCACAACTTTTGGTGGGAATTTAATACATCTTATAATTCAGCCCTATCTTAAAGAGTACAGCGCCCTCTGTTGATATGGATTGCCGCCGGCAAACCTTTAGTAAACGTTAGTTTGCCGTCATTACCTCCGGCAAAATATCCACTATCTAAAAAATATGGCACGACAAACGTGTTCAAAACAATCAGAAAATCAAAGACACTCATGGAACTCTGGTACCCGAGTTCCGCATGCGCAAAACGGTAGGAGTCCCACCAGTGGGTACCCGTCTTACATGGCACATGTGGCAGGGTGACTATAATACCATATTAAAATTTGGTCCAAAAAATTGGGACTCTCATACTTCCAGAACTGTAAGGTTTTTACAAGAAAGATTAGCTGGAGTTACCTCAGCCCTATATTTCATTACTTGGTTATTGTATTAGGGCTGAAGGAAGCAGTCAACATGGACTAGCATGTTTAAAAAATTTGAATCCAAAAATGTGCCATTGAATTAGAAAATGTGCCATTTTGTCCCCGCAACACACCAACTCCCCCTGGGACTCCCCCAAACCTTGCCCGGCACAACCACTTCATGTACATAGGTCCATGAAGAAAGTAACGATCCAAGATGAAGATTCAGCCTGCAATTGCAGTGAAAAAGGAGGCACTACAGACAGCCGATCAACTTCTGTGTTCGCTGGCCAGAGGTCTTGTGGGGGTTTTGAGTACAAAAAAAATTGTGTACAAAGGAATGGCAATGCGCGGTCGATTACCATGCACAGCGCGCGTACCACTAGTCTTGTAGAGGTTTTGTTACAGAAAGACCAATTGAAGTTGCTGTAGCAGAAAATTCTCAATTGTTCCGACCTCCAAACTCTTCTGTCGCGAAGTTCGGCCTCAATATTTCACAAGTTTTATCTTGATGTGGATAGGTACCTCCATCCTGGTGGGTTGCAATCCCTAAAATGTCAAACAAAAATGTGAAATTTACCAGAATTTCGTTCACTAGGAAGTAGGATCATTGGAGTCTTGCATTCGGCCGTCTCTCATCGTTTGCCGTCGACCGAGGGCGCTTTAATTCTCTTGACCAACTACAGCAGCCCAGCTTTCATTCCGAGAGTGCTCCGTGCTTCGCGCGATCCGCACGATGAAATAAAAGCCGCCCTACTAAACATTTTATTTAATATTATGGCTGTGGTTGGTCAATTTTTTTCCCTGCTAAATTTGACTTTTTAGTTTTAGGACACATTATCACCTTCTGATGGCTGATACTGCTATCAATGATAGGTCACTGACATGACTGAAGGGAAAAATTTGCAATGGCCAGATGTGGGAATCTTTCCGGCTACAATACATCCATAAGTTACGTTAGTTAGCAAGAGACTTAACATTAACATTAGTCAAGAAGGATAACGCCTCTATTTTCGACACCACTCAGTTTCCAAATTGCACAAAAAGGGCATGCCATAGGCCTAGGGCCTACATGAGTTTAGATCTTATCCTTGATCATATCCCTACTGGAAAACAAATTATGCATGAATCACAAGATAGTCATTTATAATTTAGAAATTAGTATTAAAAAGGCCTTACCGACCGTGGACCTGGCTTCCACATTCATTCATAATTTGCAAATTGCAAAGAGCGCGCCGCGTTGTAAATGCGAGAGGGCGCCCTTTGAAAACTTTCGGTCTGCTAATAAGCGCTTAGCTAGCTTTATGAACGGACAAGCTGGTTTACCCGATCATAGATCGGGTAGGGCGTAGTGTTGGGGATGAAAATGTGGGGAGTTAAATGTAAATGGGGGATATAGTTGGGGAGACATGCAGTTAAAGACAAGGGCGGATCCAGAACACAATTTTGGAGGGGGCCAAAAAATTTTTTGGGTCCCCCAAAAAAGTGGGTCAAAAAATTACGGCGTGGGGTTCGGGGCCCGCTTAAGGGCCCCGAAAATTTTTTGGATTCTAGATGCTCTGTGGTGCGATCTGAGGCAATTTCTGACCACTTTAACCAATGTTTTTTTGAGGAAAAGATGGCGGTGTACTCATTGCCTGCCTTTATTGCGGTGTCACATAAAAAAAAAAAAATTGGTTTCGTTTTTGGGGGGGGGGGGGGGGGCCATGGCCCCCTTTGGCCCCCCCCCCTGGATCCGCCCTTGGTTAAAGAATAGCAATTTCTGTGGTGTGATCTGAGGCAATTTCTGATCACTAAAACCAATTTGAGCAAAAGATCATCTGTGAAAGTTTTGAGTTTTGAGTAATTGAATCAGCTACATGTATTCTGAGCAATAGAATCATTATTGTAGGCTACAATATTTTTATTCGGGGAAGAAAAAGTGTGGGGGGGGGGACCAAACAATGTCCCCCCTCAAAATGAGTGTGTGTGTGTGTGTGGGGGGGGGGGGGGGTCCCCTGTCCCCCGTCGATTTACGCACATGATAATTATGTACCATGGCAACTGTCTGTAAATGTTGCCGTTGGTCTGTTAAATTGGCTTTTTGTGAGGCAGTCGCATTTGGAAAACGTAGTGAAAAGGTTACTGTAGTACACAGGCGAAGGTAGCCCCATAAATGTGGCCTATTTACTGGACTGCCTCCGTAAACATAGGCCACACATCCACATATATGTACAAAAATCGTGTCGACTTTGCCAAATTTTGATTTTCACATTTAGGCTTAGTTTGTAGGTTTTTTTTGCTTTAGAAGCATACTCACCCTCTTTATAGGCTAATCAGAAAGTGCTGCCTTTTTCAGATGTATATTTTTCGTGAAATTTCCAGATTCAATTTTACACGTTTGCGTATCAAAATTTCAACATGAAATTTCACAAAAATTAGACATCTGAAAAAAGGCAGCACTTTCTGATTAGCCTATAAAGAGGGTGAGTATGCTTCTAAAGCAAAAAAACCCTACAAAGTAGGCCTAAATGTGAAAATCAAAATTTGGCAAAGTCGACACGATTTTTGTACATGTGGATGTGTGGCCTATGTTTACGGAGGCAGTCCAGTAAATAGGCCACATTTATGGGGCTAAGGCGAAGGCTGGTTGTACAGTTTGACAATAAATCATAATGCAATAAAACGTGAAGGCGTCATTTAAAATGAAAATGTTGAGTGTTAAACTTGAACTTCTTACAATTTGCGAGACCGTCTGCGATTCAACTTTTATTCAAGTTGGTTCAACCATCTATATATAAGAGCAAGTTTTACTCGGCCTCCGAGAAATGTTTGCTTCTGAAAGGATCCGAGACCGCGGCGATCCTTCGTTGACCCAAAACAGGCCCCCGAAATTATAACACGACACTGAATTATACGTGGCGGGCAGCGAACTCACAACGCTCAGCCTTGGTAGTGGAAGCATGGAGCTGTAAACACATTATGGAAGCAACAGCACTCTATCACGCGACGTCACATGTTTGCGCTTCAAATAGCGAGCACCGTAGACCCAACCTCGTTTTTAGGGTGTGGAGCAGGCTGCAGTACGCGTTGCCATCGACAGTTTTGCATAGCCCGGAAATACTACGCAGTGTAGACTTTCGATTGGTCAGACCGCGCAAGGCATACTAATGTGTAGTCATTCTGAGTATTCGTTGCACTCAGCGCAGGGGCGGCAAGCGAAGCATATGAAAGAATAGGGACACTTGGTGGCCACGCACCATGGAGAAAAAATATTTTACCAAGGTCACCCCATCCACCATTTGGTGAACGCTTTTGCAGAACGGCCGAGTAGAACACGTAAACGGAACCCCTACGTTGAAGCCGCTGACCTCGCACAGTCTAGACACGCAGAAAAGCCAGCACAGGGGGCGGCCAGGCAGTCAACGTGAAAGCGCACACGACGGCAAATTCCTGCGCAAAACGCAGTCACGAAAAATCGACGAAACGGATTGCCGGTCCGTACGGGAAAATCAGGACGACACGAAGTGTCCGACCCGGCGGAAGACACCCTCCGCATTTTCCCACGGACGTGGAGCGATTCTGGCGCCGCGGGAGCCCGCGGTCTCGGATCCTTTCATGAGCAAACATCGTCTCGGAGGCCGAGTTAAACTCTCTCTTATATATAGATAAAGTATGATTGAGAAAACATGTACATTGCATCTTTTAAGTTTGAGCTTGTCACCGCGTACTCATTCAGAGAAGGTAAATATAAAAACAAACATTCTGAATCGTTTAAGTGGTAATGGTGTTGTGAGTCGGACGTCGGGTGGTTAGGAACAATTCCCGAGAACGTATCTTGTCAAAGTCAAACTAAGTGTGCCATGAAAAAGGCATGATGGTAACAAGGTTGACCCAAATTCTTGAGAGTTTCTTTTTTTGGGGGGGGGGGATTTGTTTTGCCCCCGGCGCCTCCCTTGATCCGCCCTTGCTCTTCAGGGCCCGCTCAATGGCCCTGAAAGCATTTTTGGATTCTAGATGCTCTGTGGTGTGATCTCGGGCAATTTCTGACCACCCAAGTTAACCAAGTTTTGTTGAAGAAAATATGGTGGTGTACACACTGCCTGCCGTTATTGCGACGTCACTTAAACAAACAAAATTGGTTCTTTTTTTGTTGGGGGGGGGGGGGGGCATGGGCCCCGCTACCGCCCCCCCGATCTGCCCTTGATGAAGAGGCGATATAGGTATGAGCCAAAGTGCCAAACTATTATTTATTTATTAAAAACAAGAAAAACAAATCAACAAGAAATCAAATAGGTATATTACATGGATATTGAAGATATTTATCTACTATACAAAATATAATCGTTTTTAAAGTCACACTAGCCAAATTCATGTCAATTTTCTCAGGTGAAATTAAATATTATTTTAACAAGTTACTAATTTATTTCACTATGTACAGACAGTTTGAAACTTATGTCGATGGCATTGGACAAACGAACAATTTAAGGAAATATAAAATTCTAAAGACGGTTTTCGCAGTCATTGTTTTTGTGGTAAGGCACTGAGGTACATGAATTACCTGTTAATTGGAAACCCTGGGCGACATTGTCGTCATTTATAAATTATACTTTAGGGAGACACTGGACATTAGGAAGAAATTTCAATGTGTAAGGTAACATTGGGGAAAGATGGAAACATCATGTGCACAAGTCTGTGGGAATGTCTCCCAAATGACACATTTCTCTTAATAATAATTTACTCGACGGTCAACAAGCATCCACTGAACTGAAACAACATCCACAATGTTAGTTGTTATTATTATGCACCCTTCTACTTAACAGGGACGGATCTAGTCTAGCTTTTAGGAAACGGGGGTTTTGATATGTAGGTGGAGGGGTGGGGATGGATTGAATTAGGCGTACCTTCGGTACGGGTCGTGTGGTCTAGCTGTGGAACACAGGATTCATGATTGTGAGGTTGTGGGTTCGAGCCCCGCCGTGGCCATTGCGTGTTCATTGCGTGTTGTGCCCTTGAGTAAAGGTGCTTTACCTCAATTACTCCTCTCAACCCAGGTGTTAAATGGGTAACGGCATTATTCAATGCTGGGAAGGTAACAGACTCGCTGTGGAGGAGGTGTGGCGCGCGATCCCCCGACAGCAGCATAATGTGTCCGGCCCAATCGCTAACGAAAGAGAGATGGGCACTCCGTTCCTGTTAACACAGGTTCATCCATGCACTTTTACCTTTTTTTACAGTGAAAAATTTGACATCTACGATGATTCCTCTTGCGTACTAAGGCAATTCGAGAAAAAGAATGGGAACTTTGGCAATCCATTTATTATTTGTGGCCCTATTTACATACCATTACTCAGCGTCTTGAGGGGGGGGGGGGGTGGTCCCATCCGCTACTGCTTAATATAGCATTTTTTGCTTCAAACGAAAACAAAACTGCACAAAAAGCAAATGCTCCTATCTGCGGTTAACTTGGCAAAACTTATTTGCTATTGGGCTGTAATGAGAATCTTGCTAAGTCTGATTACATACAATAAATAAGTCTGATTACAAACAATAATTGTTCTCTTGTACTAGAAGTTTAGGTCTGGTAATTTTTGTGTGATAACAATTAAATATAATGCGAACCGCCCCCTCCTGCTCTAACACGTACCCCTCCAAAATATACTGGTAATAATGTCGGCCTGTGCACAAAATCACGATAGAGCCAGCTTGGGTAGGGGGTATTTGGACACTATCCTTTAATATCTTCGGATTTGAATAGCGCCCTGATTGAAAGTATATGGTACGAGTCACCCCCCCCCCCCCCTATTGATTTCCGGAGGCCAAGTGTCAGGAGAAAAAAATGTCTACATTTCAGAATTTTTTGCTGATGCATCCCCCCCCCTGCCAAAACCCCCCTGGATCCGCCCTTGTATAATGCCCATACTTCGCACCTCTTTCTTAGGTTTGAAGAAGTTTATAATTTTCAGATTGCTTCACATCTTTATGATTATTTTCATAAATTGCTTCCAAAAAATTAAGTTGTGATAACTGTTTCCCTTTGAACCAAGATATTCACTCGTATACTACCCGTTATAGCAATTTCATCTATTTGCAAGGCACATGTACACTAGACATTGCGCTTCCGCTAACTATAGACATATTTACCTACCAGTGTTAATTCTTTTCCACCTTTTTAAAGAAATGACTTGGTTACGTGAACTTTTCTAAAATGGTGTTCACGAGGCACTTAAAAGAAATTTAAGTACAGAAATTTTTCTCTGTGC